GTGGTTAAGCTGCTTTTCCAAAAAACTCACCGGTTTTAAACAAATTAAAAACTCCCACCCTTGTTTTCCAAAATCAGCTTACGTCTAGCGCTTCTTTAAGCAGGATCGTGATTAATCAATGACCAATATTTCGAAACACCCTGTATACATTTTTGGGGTACATGCAAAAACAAAATAAAACATACGTGTTTAAGCGTTTCTCTTCGAACCTGACCGTTTTTAAATAAAAATATTGTAATATTTGAGTTGTGGTTTCACCCCCTTATAGTTCGAGTTTCGAAAAATTTTCCTTCTTATCGAACCTGTGAATCAACCTGTATGCCAAAAATTGAGCTTCTTATGTTGAGTGGTTTGAGCGGGATCAAATGATTAATCAGTATGTCCGTCACTTAAGGATTTTATATATTAGTATATAGATTAATATTTTGTACATCCATATTCTGACAATGATACTCTGATAATTATTGATAATTATCGAGTATCATTGTCAGATATGGATGTATATCTGCAAGGCATTGAATTAAGAATAACCATAAAGCCTATGGCATCAGAACTTCTTTGTCTTAAGCGATGGAATAAATAAATCCTAGGATTTATCACAAATCTTAGAAAAGACCAATAAGGCAAAACGAAAATGACCGTAATGAGGTACGACCGCTCGATAGAGTACCAAGTACGGACTGGTTATGGCAAAATATTGTTTAGTGTTTTATCTTCGGCAAAAACTGGTTGGCTGATGTACCAAGAATGACGTTAGAACCAAAAATGTATGACATTAAGCGTTTGAGGTTTGTTTTATGACCGAGTATCGTCATAATTCTAAAATTGGATTTGCGCACAAAAAATTCCTGCATCTTGATGATCAAGCAATACTCAGGTAAATATATATATATATATATATATATATATATATATATATATATAAATGTGCCCCCTTTATTTCTATACTTAAAAAAAATAAAAAAAAAAATTATTTAATATCAAAGTTCATAGTATTTTACTGAATTATAAATTAATATATACCGGTGGCGTCTCAAAGTGGCTCACCCCTTTTTACTTTTTCTTTTCAGAAAAAAACGATATAGTTTCTTAGTATATGGCATAGATTAAGATTGATTGACGTATTCACTGGTTTTCGGTCACTTCCTGTTTCACCGGAAATGAGTACAACTTTGATTTTTAAATGGCACCGGCATTTTTTTACTTTATTCGATAGAAAATGACACTTGAATAGAATGACATATCATATGTCAATTTTTGGCAACTAAAATGGCAGAAAACAGCGAAAAAACGAAAAACATGGGTGTAAACGAAGAAAGAATACGCAAAACAGTAATAACGGATTGAATTAACGATGAGGAATCAAAAACACTTCTTAAGTTCAGTATTCGGAAACTGGTCCCATCGAAAAATTTTAAGAGCTTTTTTATCTTATCTACTACGGTTAAATGCTTAAACCTGATCTGCGTTTTTGCGATGATCGTGGAATTCGAAACGGACTGTACGATACTGCATTGTTGCCAAGTGGAGACATTTCAATCTAATGTACGGATTTTTTTTTGACAAGTTGAGACAATCTAGTAATCTTAAAATATGTTTTATCATTTACTATCATCTGGCAAGGCTTTCGGGATGTTCCAGATGAGCCAGACTATATTTGCAGCTATAATTATAATATAAATTATCATCTGACAAATTTTTAGGACTGCAAAGATAAGGGCGATGGTTTCAATAATTTTTATCCAATTTTTCACCTTCCAGACATATTACCCATTCTCACAGATTAGCCAGACTTTCTTTTTTTCTTACACAACATCTCTCACTAATAGAACGCTGGAAAAAGAAGTGCAGTATATTTGTACTTTCTAACGCATTTTCCGCCCAAACCCATCGGAAAAGCCCCCTTAATATACAGGGTGGCGCCTCTCATACGCCGCGGACGCTCCAAGGAGAACGACAGTTTGTATTGAAGTAAAATTTTGTGAGCATACGTAGGTTAATCAAAGCAATTTTTAAAAATATAGAGAGTTCTACAGGGTGTCCCCAAAAAGTTACATATCAAAGTTGTGTTTTTTGTAATGGAACACCCTATATATTCATTGATTTTCGGATTCTGGGAGAAAAATAAAGGTGAGTTTTATAAGAGAAGTTTTTGACATATTTAATATTTTCTAGAAATAAAGAAAAAAAAATTAATTTACAATAAAAGCTACCTAAATTAAATTAAAATTAAAATAATAATTAAATCAAATAAAAACTTGATCCAGAAAGTTATACATGGTGAGACAAAATTAATATTGAACATTGGTCACCTTTAAAAGCATGTTACTCTTTTATTTTAAATTGAACACCCAGTATATTATTCCGATATTCAATAGAGAATTCATGTCTCCTCCTTAAAAGACTATTAAGGTTGCCTACCCCTCAACCAAATATTTTCCTGGATATTTTCTTTTATATGATTTGATCTGAGTAGATCTTTATTATTTGATAAAATCTAGGTGGCTGTGATATGGTCTGACGTTATTTCAACATAGCGGTCTAATTAGTCCAAATTTAACAATTAGTTATCATTTTGTGTCAGTTAAAACAAAAGAATTTCTCAGAAATTTGCCGAAAATGCAAACTTATCCTACATCAGAGAGGTGTTTGCTGACTGGGAAAATAAGTACCGAAAATCTTCACTGCCTCCTGGACTACAATAAAACAATCCATTAATTGCGTATTTTAATTCTGCCCATCGTCTTGTATTATGGGCTTTTTTGGTCATATAAAAGCGCAACTGAGATCAGTTAAATCGATTTGCTTGTTTTTTTATTCACTTTTGTCGAATGTGACGCCGGATGTTTTTCGTTAAAACCTTTTTCAATGGATACTTAATATTAACGCGTCGTCCCATGTAATTAAATGTATTTTTTCGACTTCGATTTCTCGTTTAAAGATAAAAGTAAATTGGCGTGTAACGGCAGTTCGATTTTTAGTACCGCGAACAAACCAAAATCACTGAAACAGATGTTAATAAGTTTTTAGGTTATCCGATCGGCCATAAATTTGTTAATTTAAACATATCCATGGGTTGTTTTGTCGTTTCATTGTTCTTACATACATTTTTTCAATTTTATCATGAAATTTGTTTGGTGTTGGTTGAAATTTTATTTTGTTTCACTTTTAGCAGACTATTTTTTTGTTTTTTTAAGCTAGAAAATTCATTAAAAAATTATGGAGTTGTTACTCACGTTTTATTTTATACAGTCATGTCTAGTTTAAAATATTATATTATTTTATTTTTAGCAAACTGTATATAAATATATCGTCCCATTGCTGCCAAAAGTCACTAACTTATTTTTTATTACTTCCGAGAAAAATGCGTCTAAAGATGAATTGCATTGCATAAAGATGTTATAGTTAGTAACTTTCGGTATTAAAATAAAACATAAATAGCCAGAAATCGTAGTTAAGACTTTTGCAATCGATTCTCCGCTTCAAAACATAGTTAGTGATTGATTGAATTTGGTTGTTCGGAAAAATGTTAGTTACTTTTGGCAGCAATAGGACGATATCAACTTTAATTCGTAACCTCAGTTTATTATAAACCTTAATATTTGACTTATTATACAGGGTTAATCCTAGAGTTGTTTTTTACCCTCTCTTTAAATCACCCTGTGCAATAATTTCTTGAGCAAATTTTCCTAATCCTTATTTTTCGGTCAGAACCATGTCTCCTGAATATTTTGTTTTTTGACTCACGTTAACACATGCTTTGGTTAATTTTTAAGAGGAAAATGAACTTGCCACAAACATTTTACAATCTTTTCAATTTTCGTTACTTTTTGATGTTATTCTTCATAATGACGAGGTGGCTTTGGTGATTATTGTTGTGTACGATTGAATATGAATCTTAGTGTCGAAGATTGTGTAAAAGTCATTGATCATTGATCTGGTTGAACATAGCCGAAATTATGAATATTCGTTTGGTCCTTGAAGAAAAATGGGAAAATATAACACAATATATTTGGAGCCCCATTAATAGTATGAACCGACGCGCGACGCCTACCTATAGTTATAGCAGCAGGAGACAGTAGAAAGTATTGAGTATTTTTTTCAAGTTTTTTGTTTGTTTGTTGCAGTTATTACAGTTATTATTTTTTAATATCATTACTTCTGTTAGTGTTACTAATCTAATTTTTATTGTTGTCGATCCATTAATATTGTATACTGTGTTTTTTTAATTGGATTAGTAGGGTCGAAAAAAATCAACAGAAGTTCTTTGTTTTAAATTTTTATATTTTTTGTTTACAAATTTAAAACAAAGGACTTCTGTTGATTTTTTTCGATCCTAATCCAATTAAAAAACACAGTATACAGTGGTACTAATATTTATTAAAACCAAGCCTGTACCGTTACTTTTTAACGTTTTTTTAAATTTTAATATAGAGTTCTAACGGTTCTAATCAGTGTCAATATGACGTTACGAATATTAAAATTGAAAAAATAACATCATAAAGTAATGATAGTTGAAAAAATTGCAAATTGTTGGTGACAAGTTAATTTCGCTCTTAAAAATTAACCAAGGCATGTGTTGACACGAATCAAAAAACAAAATGCTCAGGAGACATGGTTTTGAAAATAATGTTTTATGAAAAGAATTTCACTCACGAAATTATTGCACCGGGTGTTTTAAAGTTAGGGCAAAAAACAACCCTTCAATTAACCGTGTATAATAAACCAAATACTAATGTTTATAAAAACTGAGTTTATGAATTTGAAGTTGATAGATTATATACAGGGTGTCCCAGAAATAAGTGCAAGTATTTTAAAGGGTGGTGATTTCGATAAAAGAAACGTATTTTCTCTTTACCGTTTTTCAAATAGATCTAAATAAGAGTTATTTTACTTTGAAAATTCCCCCTAAAAAAATGATTTTTTGCTTAAATTTTTAGAACCAAACAAAATCCAAAAAATTTTTCAAAAAATTCCGAATTTAAAAAAAAAAATTCGCAAAAAAACCTCATAGGCGTGTTTCTGGGGTTGAACTATACTACCAGTTACTACACTTTGATCTTAACCAAAAGGCCGAGAAGCGATTTGCCACAATAGGCCCTCGCGGCCGCAGTGGTATATACTACTTTATATTTTACGAAAAAATTCCCCCTCTGAATATATTTTTAGTGGGTTGGAAATAAAAAAACTGCACAATACGAATACATACTAATAAAAATATACATAAACAACTCAATCAACACATCAACAACATTTATCCCTTTAGGCATAACTGTTAAGCAACTGATGCTTTTATTATTAATAATATATCACTACTAATTCTCAACATTATTACTAAATGGCAGGATAACAATTAAACGAATATCGTTAAATCGATCGATAATTTATCATGTTCGTTGCACGTTTAGAAGAAAAAAAAAATATTTTAATGGTTCTCTGCGGCTGGAGGTTGTAGCATTAAAAGCGTGTTACATGATCTCGCAAGAAAATTACATAAAAAAATGATCGTCTCGACAGCAGCCAGTAACCTACTTTTGAAAAGGTGGGAAAGTGTAGAATTGATTTTTCTGAATCAATGAGGCATTGTTTAAAAGATATATAACAGAATGATACAGATTGTTTTAGAAACACTGTTACAAATAAAATCAAAATAAGATCTATACAGTTTGGTGTGTTTTTTCCATAGCAACTGTTAAAATTGCCTTATATCTATCAAAAACAGTAGATAAAATAGTATTTTAACCGCAAGGGTAGATTAAATGATACTTTAACAGCGAGGATAGGTTAAAAACCTTATTTCTTCTCGCAGGTTTTTTAATTGCTTCCGTTTTTGATTTTTTTGTATTCCTTTTCATAAGTTATTCGGGATTTAAATGGAAGTAGTTTGGATATGGCGTTTGTCGCCTCAGCTTGAATATCTGTTGGTAATTTACTTATTTCGTTTTGAGCCATTTCTCGCTCCAATTCAATCAGCAATCGACACGAAAGAGAATTAAAAAATATTGACTCAAAACTGACAACTAAAGAGACAGCTTTATTTATTTGTCAAATTACATAGAAACCAACGCCAACCCAGCACAATATTTTTTCTACTCGTAATAAATTC